GAGGAGTCAACAATGAAGAGGAGTCAACAATGAAGAGGAGTCAACAATGAAGAGGAGTCAACAATGAAGAGGAGTCAACAATGAAGAGGAGTCAACAATGAAGAGGAGTCAACAATGATAATAAGGAGACAAAAAGCAGATATATATGCATCATGGGATGAATTGCAAAAGAATTGACCAGCCTGGGGGTCGAACCCAGAATCTCCTGATAACACACTTGGTCGTAGTCAGACGCCTTGCCATTGGGCCAACCGGCCGTTATTGGAAAATCTTGGGACGGATGTTATACTTAAAGGCTGGGAGATGGGCAGCCGGCACGAAAATCGAGTTCAGGACCAGCTGCCGACCCAAATACCTCAAACTCAACAGATTAGTCTGCAATACGATATTTCTCGTCTTCGCTAGCATTTCTGAGCATGTCAGCGATAACACTTTGAGTGTTTGCGACGCGAGAATCACTCGAAGCTGTCTCTGTGGGTACCGAATATGCAATAAAGCGATCCACCCAGACAAGCACTTACTCACTGGCACTGCGAGATCATCAATCCTTCTCTGTCGTAAGCAAACATGGACGCATCGTAACTTGAATTTTAAATTTCGTCGAGAAATGAAAACTTGTAGTCCCCTGTTCAGACGTACTTGGTGATGGGCACATTGCCGATCTTTCAAGATGTCGTTTCCTGACAGACCGGTCGCTCACTTGCTGGGCTCAAATGGTGAGTTTTGTCGTTTGGCTACGAGACTGGCATGCCAAGAAAAGCCACGAGTCGACTTCCCCGAGAATTTGCAGGACTCAGAGGCTGACTTCAAGTAGGACCCGTTCATGCTGTCTCATATTCAGCATCGCCAGGAACATACATCCTCACGGGCTCAGCAGACCGCAACATCAGACTGTACAACCCGGCATCTCACAACCAGCCCCAGCGCTATGGCTCAGCCATCAACAGCAACAAGACGCCGGGAACCACCAAGACCGTCATCCCGGAAGGCCGCCTCATTCAAACCTACACCGCCCACGGCTACGAGGTCCTCGACCTCTCCGTCTCCTCCGACAACGAGCGCTTCGCCTCCGTCGGCGGCGACCGCGCCGCCTTCCTTTGGGACGTCACCACGGCCAAGACGATCCGTCGGTTCGGTGGCAACGCGCACGGCCACACGGCGCGCGTCAACTGCGTCTCGTTCGCTGGCGACGGGGACTCGCTCGTCATCTCTGGGGGCTTCGACACGAGCGTGCGCGTGTGGGACGCCAAATCCAACTCGGCAAAGCCCATCCAGGTCTTGGACGAGGCCAAGGACGCCATCACGGCGCTCGCGGTGAGGGACGCGGAGGTCATCGCGGGCAGCGTCGACGGGAGGGTGAGGAGCTACGATGTCCGGATGGGACGTTGTGTGACGGATGTCATCGGGGCGAGCGTGACGAGTCTCAAGCTCACGCGGGACGGCAAGGCCATGTTGGTCGGATCGTTGGACAGCAAGATCCGATTGATGGACCGGGAGAGCGGAACGTGTCTGAAGACGTACGCCGATGACGGGTGGAGGAGTGAGGAGCTGCGCGTGCAGGCGGTCCTCGGCGGCAAAGAAAAATATGTCATTGCAGGCGACGAGCTTACAGCCGGCACGGGGCCTACAGGTTTGAACGGCGACGGGAAGATATGGGCGTGGGACCTCTTGACGGGCAAGCTAGTCGCAACGGTTCGGGTGCCGTGCCCAGAGGGCTACGAGCCCAAGAAGAGAATGCTGGGCAAAGATGGCAAGGAGAAGGAGAGGAGCAACGTCATCAGCTGCGTGGCCTGGAGGGGCGATGGATGGGGAGATCAGTTCTGCGTCGGTGGCACGTCAGGGATAGCTACTGTCTTTGGTTCACTCTAGAAGCCATATATGATGCATCGCTATGATATAATCGCAACAGTGATGAGGTATCGTCATTCCGGACGTTCACGTATCTAAAAAAATCTTCCAAATCATACAGAGTCATGTCCGTCTCTGACCCCGTGGTACTCTACACACACGCGTGGATGTTCCGCAGACGCCCAACACCAATGTACCCAGATGCTTCCCTGGAAATCCCCAATCGGTGCCAACCAAAAATTACATAGAACAGCATTCGTGCTTGGAAACCACTTTGGTTCGATTAGTCCATGCCGACATACTTGAACCAGTTCGGGCGGCAGTCGTCCTTGTGCAGCCATGCCTCGCCATCAGTGAAGCGGCCTGTCACACAGCCCTTGCACTTGTTAGAGTTGGGGCAGTTGAAGAAGGGAATGTGCTGGTATCCAATGTCGCGGAACCTGGTGCATGTTAGTTGACTATTCTGTATGGAACTTTGTGAGGATTGGCAAAACGTACCAGTGTATCTTGGATTTGTCCTCGAAAAGACCCAAAGCAATGCTGTGGACAGGAGCGTCGCCCCATCTTTCATAAAAGAAACCTCCAGCGCGGTCCAGATGCTGAAAGTAGTCCTCATACGCTTGACTCCTCCAGAAGTCAATGTCGGCAATCTCAAAGTTGCTCCAGAAATGACACGTAGAATAGCCGTTTGCATCAACGTTGTTCTCGGGACGACCAGCCTTATCGGTGAGCCAGTCCATGGCATTGTTCTCGTGGAGGTATTCGGGGTGCTGCGCTAGGAACTTTCTGGTCTCGGGCCACAACGTTGGGATGGACTTGGGCGCGTCGTACAGGTTGACGGTGAAACCATATGTCTTGTTATTGTCCTGCATGTAGCGGAAGACATCGTAGTCAACGTCGCAAAAGAAATGGACCTTGGGCTCGACACGCCAGTAGTACTTGGTGTGCTGCAAGGCAGGGTGCCTGTAAAACATGCCACTGTTCCAGCGGCACATGGAGTGGTATGAAACCTTATCGGCGTACTGAATGTCGTTCTCCTTGAGGATCTTGACGGATTCTTCGTACAGGTCTTTGTTGATCCAAGAGGGCATCTCCCAGTGCTCTTTGGGGATGAGTTCTAACAAGTTTGATTAGCGCGAGAGTTGCGCAAGGAATCGTCGCAAAAGCTTACCGTATCTGCACTCAGCCTTGGTGGCCGCCTGAGTCCTTCTCTTGAACTCATCGCTGAAGGGAACCTCATTGAAGAATGTCCAAGGGTAGTTGAACTTATGGTTCCAGGTCCTCTCGAGATCGGCCATTGACTGAATCATTCCATCCAATTCCTCGTTCCTGACCAGCGCCAACAGGGTGGCATTGATGCGAGCGGAGTCTGCGATGCCGGGGGCATATTTGTCGGAGACATATGTCAGAACACCTTGAGGTTCACCGGTAGCTGTGCAGAGATATTATCGTCAGCGATCTGTGCGATGACTTTGTAGCAATTGCAGGCGCAACTCACGATCGAGGTTGGGGTCCCGTCCATTCTCGTAGCGCACTGGCTTCTGGCTTATCGGCCTTTCGGGGCCAAAGATCTGATAAAGGAAGAAGCACCAAAGCATCACGGCGGCTAACGCCAGAGCTCGAACTGGGCGGGCGACCGCCATTTTGGGCAGATGAATTGGGGGCAAGCTAGCAATCGTGGGAAGGATGTAGGAGGGCGGAGGTATCTCGACAAGTCGAACCGTCGAGCGATGTCAGGTGCGACGTTTGCGCAAATAGTCAACGGCTAGCGGAAAAGCCAGGTCGTCGAAGTCGATCGAGTAGTGGGAGGTTTCTTGGTCGCGGCTCGTGCCGTCGGTTTTTGAGGGCCGTTCGGTGGTGTGGAAGGGAGATTTGTTGACCACTAGGCCAGATTGAAGAGTGACGCGTAAAAAATCGGAAAAGGGGGCGTCGATGGCAGTTGTCCCGGGTCGTTGGATGCTTGAGGCTGATGTCACCCCGTGAAATTTGCCAATTAGCGTCTTGCATTGGGAGAACCAAGGACCTATGGGCGCTTTGTCCAGCTGTCGTACCCCTGTAATCAGCGATAAGGGAGGATCAGGACCCCCGCGCGCCCCTCTATTTGGCCGGCATCCTAACACCACCTACGCACCAAATGGCTGTCGCGTGTACTTGCGACAAGCACTTCGACAACGCGTCTTTTGACGATGCTGGCAGATTAGCTCAATGCCGACACATCGCCCCTGGTTCTCATGACCTGAGCTTGAAATCCTCCGTCAGCAATCTGGCTCCTTTCGACGACAAACAATGACATTCGCTGCAAAGCTCGGCGCCTTGACCGACGAGCTGGTCGAGGTCATCACATCAACACCGGACAAGGTGGGAGACAGTTCATCCCATCTTGCATGAGCATACACAATGCAATGCAGCTCGGCCCGTCGCTAACACCAACGGCAGCACATCAGTCGAGAGCGCTTCAATTTGTTGCGCGAGTCTTCGCATCGCAGTCTCAAGCATCACAACTTCCTGCGCACTAATCAATTCGACGTTGACAAGCAGCTCGTCGGCCTGGAAGAGCGATTCAGGGTCCACCATCGTGAAGGCTTGGCGGATGCCTTCAAGGAGCGGCTCGATGCATTATCAGAATTTCGAACGAAGTGGCACCCCGACATTCTTCATTTTCTCCTCGAGCTTGCCGATAAGCCAACACAGAAAACCCGACTTAGCGACCTCGAACTTCTCCAAGAGCCCGAAAAAGACCTCGAACCGCCGCTTAGATGGGAAGACATCGCGAAAGAGGATGGATGGCACGAGGAAGCCGAGATATGGAACTCCATCGACTACAGCGATCACTCTGGCGATGAATATGGCGAGGCCAAGTCAGATACATCAAGTTTATCTGACGAGACATCTCTCTCAACTCTGGATACATCAGTCGGCAGGAGACCGGAGGCTTTCGAAATTGCCTCATCTGACGAGGCAGCCCTCAAGGTTGTTCAGGACAGCCAGGCTTGGAGGGCAGAAGGCAAGAAGACCGCGTCCTCGGCCCGACCGCAAAAGGTCGCCATCACAGAGTTCCAGGCGATGCGAGAGGCCCTCTTCATGTTACAAGGCCTACCCACGACATTGTTCCAGAAAGATGGTCTTGCCGACCCGTCGTACCAGGTATCCAGTCTTGAATGGGATACACATAAAGCACTTGTGAGCAGCTTCGCGGAAAGCGGGCGCCAGGTTTCCCAGATACGGACTTTTTCCAAGAGACCCCAAACAGCGCCTCTCTTTCAGGTTTTTCGTGACAATGTCATTGCTTGTCTGCAGTCCTTTGACAAGAGGTTATCCAACATCCAGAGTAATCTGGCAGTAGCGCGGAAAGATATCGTCATCAGCATGGCAGCCATCCTGGAGGATCTCCGACCAAGAATGGAACCTTTGGGGTCTCTCTCAGAGATCATAAGGCAGCTCTACGATCCTGCAAATGGTGGAGCGTTCCGCTTCCTCGAGCTTCTCTACGATGAAATCAGTAGAGCCCAGCTTTCTGGTCGCGATTCAACTTACAACTTTCTGGGACGAATATTTTTCAACTGTTTTCAAGTCTATCTCCGACCAATTCGACTCTGGATGTCAGAGGGGCAACTCGTGCCAGGCGATAAGATCTTCTTCGTTTCTGAGTCGCCGACCCAGGTTCCACTCCGTCAGGTCTGGCAAGAACAATTCAAGATGAGGCGAACATCAGAAGGTGTCTTGCATGCGCCCAGCTTCCTGCAGCCAAGTGTTGGCAAGATTTTCACGGCTGGGAAAAGTATTGTTGTTCTCAAACATCTTGGGAAATTCGATGCACTTCGTCAACTCTGGGATGATCACGAACCCCCTTTAACATTCGACGCGGTCTGCCCGCCGGGCCTGGAACTCGCACCATTCCCCGAGCTATTCACATCCGCCTTCACTCTATGGATGCAGAGCAAATACCATGCGACCTCGGAAACTCTGAAACAGGCGCTCTTTGACTCTTGCAACCTAGAGTCGAATATTGGCGCACTGCATCACCTCTTTCTCATGGCTGATGGAGCTGCGGCCGATGAATTCTGCAAAGGCATTTTCGCCCGGCTAGACGCTCTCAGGCCCGATTGGCATGACCGATACTCCTTGACTGGTTTGGCTCAAGAAGCATTTTCGCCACGAGTTGATACTACCCGCCTCTTCGTTACTGTTCGGATCGAAGGCCAGAAGAAATCCGTTGTAGCTGGTCGCGATCTCATCCGTACGGCCTTGCCAGAAATCACCCTCCAGTATCGTCTTCCCTGGCCAGTGCAGCTCGTTGTCACCGAAGACACAACTGCTCAATACCAAGCAGTGTTCACGTTTCTCATGCAAATCAGACGCGCCATCGGTCTCATTCAACGCAACCGAATCCTCGACGAGCTTGCTTCAAGAAGCGATATATGGGGTAGCAAAGCGCTATACTACTTGCTCCGCTCGAAGTTGATGTGGTTTTGCAACTGTATCCAGACATACCTGGCAACGTTGATTCTGGCCCCTTACACAGAATCCCTCCGCTGGAAAATGCGAGAGGCCTATGATGTAGATGCCATGATCAGGCTTCACGAAGCCTTCGTGAAGCAAGTTATCGACGCTGCATGTCTCGGCAGAAAACTGGATCCCATACGCAGTGGCATCCTAGACATTATGGACCTGGCAGCGAAACTTGAGGACGCACAAAGCGCTAGCGTCGCCGAGGAGGCTGAGGAACAACAGGAGCTATCCCGTCTTTCCATCATGTCTTCGCCGATGAAAGCGAGTCCTCGCCGTCGAAAACCGGCTGTCTACGCCGAAGACAGTGACGACGAAGGTGCGGAGCGTCTCGGGACCAGAACCAAAAGGGGTGCAATTAATGCAGGCAAGGGCTACCTAGAATGCTTGCGGGAGATTAAGACAGACTTTGAGAGGCACCTAAAGTTCATATGTGGGGGCCTACGAGGGGTTGCCAGGGCCTCAAGCGACGAGGCGGCTGTGAAATGGGACCTCCTGGCTGAAATGCTGGAGGTGGGTGTCAAGGAGGGCGCTTGAAGGCCTTGCCAAGTTGGTAGGGGACGGCTGGCAGAATTGAGAACTTGGTCGTGGAGACCCGCAAAACCATTAGAGTTTACAGAATTCCGGAAAAGGATAGGGATCGACATGGGATTCCTTGATTCCCATACTCCTGTCAAACCGCCGGGCCAACGCCAACTTTTTCCCGCTGCAGATGGAGCCTGCAGCAGACTGAAATTATTGAAATCCTGCAGCGATGATCAAGTCAACTTGGTGGGCGGTCAACAGCAACATGAGACGATGTTCGGTGCGCGCCGCCACGAAATGAGGTTTGCTGAATCGTATCATGCGATACCAACAGCTACCGACGATACGGATGCAGACTTGAGCTTCAAACAACCGCTCCTAGGTGTTGCATCGGATAAGCTGATTTGGTCTGCTAGTCTAGTTGGCTGTCGTCCCTGAAAAGAGAGAACACCGTTCGCATGGAGGTGTGCTAGGCTGCTAGTGTAGTGATTCATGATTGCTAGCGTAGACCCTTGGGGTCGCAACCACGAGACCGCTCATGCCGGAACCGACGGGATTCACAACAGCAGCACCACCACGGTGTTCACGATGCCGCCCGACGTGCGTCTCTCCGGCGGTATCGAGGCAAGATGCAATTCGTGCCCCTGCCCGCCAGGGGACGGGGTTCACTGATGCCAACTTTTTCGTCTCCAGTCAGCCTCGAACCTTGGAACGAGCAAGATCGACAGTGGGGCCCTAACGGTCGTGACTGGAAGCCCAGGGTCCCTTACAAAGATTTTCGGACCAGAGGGGGGGTGAGTGTGTTGTATCGACGCCGACTAGGGCGCCGACTGGCGAGCGGGTGAAAGACCTGCCGACATGTAACCTCTCTCTACTCCATAGACGTACCTCCGCGCCATTCCCTCGCGGAAGTCCATGATCCGTCTACGGTGGCCGTCCACGTTTTGAGTTGAGTGTTGCGTTGGTGCCCGAGAGCACTCATAGGAGCAAGGAACTGGGGAAAGGGAGCCCAACTCGGGAAATTGAAGCTCAAGCCAGGGTGCTCGTGATCAGTTCTGGACTCTGCTGGAACGTGGACCTTGATTCTACACGTGTAGACAGGGAAGGTTTTCCGCGCGGGTTTGTTGAGGCTCGACAGCGGTTGTTTCCGAGGACTGCATACGTTCTTGCAGCGCAGGCAGCGTGATCTTGGCCCGTCTAATTCCTCCGTAGTCGATTAGCAAAGAACTACCATCAGCAATGCATGGCGTGACACCTCGTAATTCGTGATCATAGAAATTGCTTTTCAGAGGCATCTCGTGAATGCGACTTGAAGATACAGGCAACGTCTTGAAATTCTTGGCAAGAGTGGTCACATGTGAAACGGTTTGGAGGAAACGGAAGTTGGATGCTCTGTGAACAGGACCGTATTCAATCACCGGGTGTTCTATTTCGCCGGCTTCCCGATACCGCACGGTGCCCCACCATCAGTGACATCCGCCACAGCTGCACGATTTGCCTGCGAGATATCAGCACCTCCGAAAAGTTTCACGACAACTCCATTCTCACACACAATTGCGCCAAGCGAACCGAAATTTATCGTCGCATAATCGCGCGGAAGCCCATCGCCCAACATGTCTGAACGAAAAGTGCTCCAGAAGTACTACCCCCCGGATTTCGATCCCTCTGCCCTCACGCGCAAGCGCGGTCCGAAGCAGACCGGCCCAAAGGTCCAGACAGTCCGCATCATGGCGCCCTTTTCGATGAAGTGCACGACGTGCGGAGAATATATCTACAAGGGCCGTAAATTCAACTCCAGAAAGGAGACGAATCAAGCAGAGCGCTACCTCAACATCCAGATTCACCGCTTCTACCTGAAATGCACGCGGTGCTCGGCGGAAATTATCATCAGGACCGACCCCAAGATCGCCGACTACGCCGTCATCAAGGGCGCGATACGGAACATGGAGCCCTGGCGCAACAAGGAGGGCGAGAAGGAGAGCGTCGACGAGAGGCTGGATCGGCTGGAGCGCGAGGAGGCTGAAGCCGCGGGCGAGGAGGAGAAAAACGCGATGGCGGACCTGGAGGCCAAGAACGAGGACGCGAGGCTGGAGATGGCTGCTGCGGACGCGCTCGACGAGATCCGCCAGCGCAATGCGCGCATCCAGCGATCCGAGAAGGACGGCGTGGATTTCTCCGAGTACGTCGTCAGGCCAGAGGACGAGGAGAGGGCGATGCAGGAGAAGGAGGACGAGGAGGCTGCGAGGAAGGCTTTCGCTGCTGCGAGGGAGAGGCTTGGAGAGGAGATTATCGACGATGATGAGTTTGACGGAGGAGTCATCGGTGGACCATCATCATCCTCATCCTCCTCCTCATTATCGGCGGTGGCAGCGTCATCCTCAACGTCAGGGGAGAAGTCGGAGGCTGCAGCGACGGGGACCGTGAGGGATACTTCAATGATGCCTCCGCCACCGCCTCCTGCCAAACGCGTGGTGAAGAAGAAGAAGGATTACTCTGCGGCGCTTGGCATCAAAAAGAAGCCTTCACTGGTCTGAGAGCTATGCCAGGGCGTGGCTGCAGCAAACAAATTTCGTTGTTTCTCCCCTGGACTCTTCGTTGCTGCCCACCTCCATCACCACGCAGGGGAAACGGAGAGCAGCTGCACGTCATTTTTCCCTTTTCTATCATGAATAGGGCTGTTATTTCACTCGCTGGCAAACTTTAATCTTTGGGCATGGCGTTTCGGAAAACGGAGGGTTACCGCACAGACTCTTCCCCCTCAGGGTACATAATCAAGGCATTGGGTGGACAGACGGTTGATAGCGTAAGGGTACACGAACAATGATAATGTAAGGTACTAGACGAATGTTGAACAATCAAAGGCAACACCGACAGATGGGGTCGAAGCCCACACCTATTCCCCCATCCCCCCTCCCTCTCGCCTGTCTCCCTTGACTTTTCATTCTTCGGACGATGAATACATAGCGAATAATTAAACTCTAGCCATCGTTCAGCATTGTTAAGACGTCACTTCGACCGTCCCCCCCCCCCTCCCCCTCTCGCTTTGCACGTCACACCTTTTTTTCTTCGCTGCGTTCTAGATGTTCCTGGGGTCGTCTGTGCTTATCTTTCCCTTTTTTTTTTTTTTTTTTTTTGCGCAAGCCCCACTGTCGATCTCTCACCTTGACAGGTCCAGCGCTGCGAAAGCTGTCGCGTATTTCCGTCTGGGGGTTGAGCTTGTGAATAGACTCTCCAAGGTCCGGTGGGCATCTGACCTCTTGTTCTTCTTGGATTCTGCGATTCAGAGTTTTGGTGGCTGGACCGCGTCGATCGTGGTAGGGTCGGTGGCTGTAAGTAGAGATGGAAAGGATGGCCGCTCTTTGGGAAGTGTATGCTGGAAGTGGCCGTAGGTTCTAGACGGCGAGAGAAAGGTTGTTGTCAGGGGAGAGCTAGGTGAGGTGCAAGGTAATGTACACCTCATTATCATGTCGCTTGGCATATTGGTGGCCGAAATACGACGGCGGAAATTGTAGGATTATTCGAATGTCGGCTAGCGTATACTGCAGCGCCTGAATGAAGCTATTGTTTCTTTGTGAATTACATACAAGTCAAGTGGAGCGCTTCATATCACGATCATCAAAGTGAGAAATGAGTGTACGTTTGCCACTTGCAACGGTATATTTGTGCCTGTCGTAAATCATGGGTAGTAAACCTCAAAAGTTCAGGTTTATCTACCCGATATCATTCAAACCACCAACGCCTGAGGAGCAGTCCTCGTAAACAAATCCCACCATTGTAAAACAAACTCTCTCGCACCAAATGCTAATGTTGCCATGATCTGATTCCAACTCGCTGGTTCCTGTAGAGTCTGTACCCTACTATCGCAGTCGCTCAAAATGAAGCACCTCTGACCAATTGGTTGAAGTGCCAAAGACCCGATGAGAGGTCGATATGAGTGGGAATGATGTATCGATTTCGATTTAGTACGATGAATCGTGACTTGATGAAGAGGAGTGGCCATTCATGTGGGGATAGCTCGCACGACCACCAGTTCTTCTAGTTGAAGAACGGTTGGCAGCCTCCATCTGGCGCTTGGTGTGTTGATGCATTGAGCGCATGTAGGTGGAGAGGTCTGATGGAGGAGGAGGAGAGACGGGAATGGAGACTGAGTAGGCGTCCTGGCGAGCGGGCATGGTGGCAGGGCTCATAAGAGGCAATTTAAATAAAATATGTGATATTGTTTGGTGGTAAGCCGCTGATGGAAGGCTTGGGGTGTAATGTGTTGTTGAAGAGCGGTTGTAGTGTTGAAAGGTTGGTTTCAATAGTCGATGCGGTGGGAGCTGGGTGGATAGATATAAAGCCTTGTAGATGTTTTGAGAACGGTGTAAGATTGTTGTTACTGTAGCTGGATGCTGATGAAACGGGGATTCACAAACGGTGGATGGCAGGAATGGTCCTGGGTTTATAAAAGAAAATAAGAGGGGCGAAAAGGGTCGCTGCAAGGCTTGTCGTGGAGAAGAGGTGAACACAGACGTAGGGGAAAGTTGGGCAGGACGGGGTCGTGTGTGTGGTGGTGGTGGTGAGCAAGCCGCCCATCAGGCAAAACACAGGGTCCTCCGTCACTAGCGGGTGCTTCAAGCCATGGGACCACGCTAAGGTACACCCCCCCCCCCTTCCCTTTCCTTCGAGGTTGAGAGGGGGGGGGTCTGAGGGTGAGAGAGAGCAGAGCAGAGCAGAGCAATCTGCCTGGTACTGTACGCAGGCAGATTGAAGACAGAGCGAGACAGAGAGGGAAAAAGCAGGCACCGTTCCTCCTCCTCCTCCACCCCTCATCCCTCCCACCCAACGAAGAGGAGCTGTTGCATATCCCTCCTACACTCAATCCGCTAGGGATCGGCAGTGATTGACGGCGTCTTAGCGTTCTGCTGTACCCCCGGGTGCGGTCTGCACGATATGGCGTAACTGGGCCGGGGTCGAGGTGCAAAAGGCCAATCAAGCAGACCTCGCCCACTACTGGGTTTATTGCCACGGACAGGGCTGATGATGCAGTAAGCGGTACGGTGATACGCTGCAGGGCGAAAGAAAGGTGGTAGCGGTGGTTTGCGGGTGCGGGAAGTGGTCGAGAACGGAAAGACCCTGCTGATCAGTTGTCCACACCGAAAGTCACCGGGCATGTTTTTTAGGTACTGGCCACATACGCCCAGCTCTCATACATGCAGAGTAAGGTACAGCTTGTTCCTCTCTCTCTCTCTCTCTCTATCTCTCCCGCGGTTCTCGAAGTACCGTGAGTACCTAGCTGTCGACATGTCAAAATACCTCTCACCCCGAATCTCGGACAAAGACAGCGACGATCAGTCTCCTCACCATTTCGCTTTCCTACCCTTGGAGGTTCTGGACCGGTGGACGGGGCGTGGAGCTGGACGGGAGACCCTGAGAAAAGAGGCTTGAGGGGTTTCCGATCCATGTTCCATCAATACGTCGAGATAGACATGGCCAGACTGCAAGCAAATAGGATTGTCTCGAACTTCATGCCCATCCCGACGCCAAAGGTGTGTTGGACCCTTGATTTTTGGCCACCCTATGACCTTACAGGAGGTCTGCATTATCGAAAGCTTGAAACCTCCCCAACTGTGATGGAGGGTCGGCATGTTCGTTGTATGACTGTGCTGCCACAGCTGCAGGGTACCTCTATCGTCCAGGACCAGTGGAACGATGGGCGGGCATGCCATGAAAACTCTCGAATCGAGCAAGCAAGCTCACGGTTAGGTAGCCATCCGCAAGCAAGCAGCCTGCGCGACGAGCGACGATGAGGGTCCAGGCCGGGGGTCACAAACCAGCAAGAGAAGCGTGTTCACATTAAAGACACGCGCTACTGGGACTTGACCAGAGCTGCCCTAGTCAAGGACAGGACAGAGAAGGGTAGTGGTAAGTCTTGTCCTGTTTAGAGTAGGAGGAATGTGGTGTAAAGGAAGTGGAAGGTGGGCAACGGCGCGGCCAAGAAGTAGCCAAGCAAGACTTGTCGTCAAAGATCGGCGGGTGGAGCAGACGTCATTGGCTGAAGCGTCTGCGTCGGCCGGACCCCGGGTGTGGACGTTACTGCCAGTGTGGCCCGTCCAAGGTACCTAGTGTCCCACCTTCCTTCCTTTTTGCCCCAGGTACCTAGTCGTCCGCCGTCGGACTGCACCTGGCACTCAAACCTTTTGGGCAGGCTTCATCTTCAGTCCTTCACCCACAACAGCTGCGACTTGGCGTCCCTGGTCTGTGCCGGGGCGCGGACACCACGCCGTCATGGCAGAAAGCACGGATCCTAGTGTATTCCCGCCCCAAACCTGAGTCTACACTATAAGCTACCGATACCTAGCTGCTTCGTCCCGGGTCTCCACCCTCTCTGAGAGCTGTCATTGGTTTGATCCTCATGTCAATGGAAATACTGTCCAGATCGTGACCATGCTTGCCCAAAGGCCAGGAACGTACTTGTAAGAAATTTCCATGATGCCCTCATGCCCACCGGTCCTCCGCCGGCATGGGAATTTGAGGAATTCGCCATGGCGGCGAGACTAGACTTCGGCACTCTTGGGCCTCAATTTCCCATCCCCCCTCTTCCGAGAAATGATGAGGATGAGAATTGCCCCTTCTCTTCCCCCGGTGGCAACCCTATCCAGCAGAGGCCTCTGCGCTGATTCCCATGATTCCCATGTCAGGGGCATCTTGACGTGCGGCGTGCCCCACCACGCCCTCCCACACTTGACCTGGTCCACCAGATCTAGCCCGTGCCGAAGCTATTCAGACTTGAATAGTGAGCCGACAAGGTGCCAAGACCAACAACAGGGAAGCTTTGGACAAATTTCAGCCCTCAACATCGCGGAGCCGGGTTACGGAGGAGCAGACAAGGTTGATTGCACCGTAGGCCGCATTCGGTCTTGATTTGACCCTCACCGAGAAATTGGTGACATATCTCTTCAGGTGAGAGATTCACCAAGGCGTCAGGGGACCGCGAACTAAAGCTTCGATACACGCTGGGATTGAAAGGCTGGGGAGATCTGACAAGAAAGAAAACACACTTTGTCGCTAAAGAGAAAGCAACCGAAACGGCGGGTTTGCGCGTTTGGTATTTTGATGGCCTAGAACCTCATTGGAGCATGGATTGCGTCCATTTGTCGTGGCGAGACAGGTGTGACGGAAGATAGGCGATGCATAGTAAACCGTAACGTAAGATAGACGGCCGGGGGGATCGCGAGAGGGATGGATGCACTCATGGGGGGATGGACCATGAATGGATGCATGTGGCCAGGACGTATCCGTAGCGACGGACAGACCTCGAACCGGCTGTAGCTTGTACGAATAGTGGGAGTGTACTCCATGACTCCGTATCGGTAGGCAGACGACAGAGATTCAGACTTTGGGGGCTGGCTGGATGGGACACACAGACGTCAAGGCTGACGGAAGGCAACTCTTCCATCCTCTCAGTTCGTTCGGCCTTGCCTCAGTTTACGTCGTTGGAGCTCTTTGGAGGTTGGTGTGTCGTCAGGTCTTGCCAATCAAGTCTCGTGTGAAG